CTCCTCCTCCTCCTCCTCCTCTACCTCTTCCTCTGCCTCCTTCTCTACTTCCTTCTCTCTTCCCCGTCCCTGTCGTCCCTCTCCTCCATATCCAATTCTACCTTCTCATTCTTCACATCCTCATCCTCCTCCGCCCCCTCTACCTGCCCCTCATTCTCACTGTCTTCTTCTTCCTCCCCATCGTCGCTGTCCTCCTCCTCCACCTTCTCCCCCGCACCTCCCTACTCCTGCTTATCCTCCTCCTCCTCTTCCTCCTCCTCCTCCTTTTCCTTGACAACGAGAACAATGGTGATGATGATGGTGGTGGTGGTGGTGGTGGTGGTGGCTGCACATCATTCAATCATCCGAAGTATTCTTCTTGCTTATATAATAAGGTGTTTATAATGGTGTTCTTCATTCCAACCACATTTTACTTGATACATTCTGGAGGAATGCCTTATACTTCCAAAAATATAAGTGTTATTTTATGGCAAAATAAAAATCTAAAAACAAACCCAGGTTAATTTTTGAGAGATACTTTACAACAACTGACCTTATCCACATAAATCTAACCATATTTTACTTTTTCGATACCTTCCCTGCTCACACCATTATTTTGTTTCCTTCTGTCCTTTCACCTTTCCTCTCTTGTGTGTAGCATCTTCCCTTGTGGGTGGTTGACGAGTGCTCTGGTGTGCTTCTACCTCCTCTTTCTTCTCAGAAGGTGGGAGAAGGGGAGGTATCGAAAAAGTAGAAATGTGGTTATATTAATGTGGATACCGTCAATTGTTGATCTTTTTTCCTGTCAAACATCTAGCGTCATTACCTCTCCTTTTTAAAATGTTATTCCTCAGTAACACGTCTAATCTTCGGCCCTTGTTCAACCTAATTGTGCTGCAAATGCCGTCAAACGTGTATTAAAACGTTTTATTAAAATAATCAAAAAATCGTCCCAACATTCCTTTACTAACAGCCCTTCAATCCTATCCTTTTCCCCTACGTTTCAGTTCTCTGTGTCTGTCTAACATTCTCCTCTTCGCCTATTTCTGGTCACGTAGAAAATATCATTATGGCATTCCTTTCTCGACAGATGACAAAAAGAGGCTTAGAGTCTTTATATAATAGATCAACCAAACTATTAAAAGAATATCCCAGCGTTCAATGGGACATCTGAATACATAAACCGATAACCCCCCCCCTAAAAAAAGGAAAATAAAAGAAGAGATCGTAAGGCATTCTTAGAATAGAAACTGTGCATACGTTCTACTAGGTCAAAATCGAACGAAGAGAAGGACGAAAAAGAACAAACAAACCCCAAACAAATAAGGGCTGAAACTCTAAGAGGAAAACGCGCGAGACAGTTGCGCATTATGACCACTCATACCTTTTGCTCCTGGGGTCAAATCCGATCACTTGGAAGAATCGACCACGCCACCAAATGGCATCTTGGCGTTAGTCGTGGGTTAAAATCGATTTGAGCTCTTCTATTAGTTGCTCAATGCGTTTGGGGCCATCTCTCCGATGAACATTCTGTCGACGTAAGTGCTCCAACTCTTTTTATACTTTACATTTTACTTTTTTCATCCTCTGTTGCCGTTAAGTGTCGAGGGGAAATGCAGTTTTCTATGGAAGGCCAGCTGTTCAGCTCTTTCAGTTGGGATATTATAATTTCTCAGGGTATCTTTCAATCTATCTTTAGCGTGGTCTACCTTTTCCTTTATGGCCGGAGTACTTGATGTTATAGGCTCTCGACGCTGGCTGGCTAGTAGATACTACTCCTTTTGTTTTTCTCGAAGCATAGTTTATCTACCGTCTGCTCGTTGGCCAGTCACGATTTCACCAGAGACACTTGAAACGTAACGCCTCAATGACATAAAGTCAAACCGTACTTCGCCCAGACCCATTTTGGACGTCGGTGAAATGTAAAAACAAAAGTGTGGAAAGTCCGATGAAGATTCTATTGAACATAACGGAGTAGGCTAGTTAAAGTTAAACAAAAACGTGTAATTAATTTCTCCTGGCCTAAGATTTTTTACGTACCACTATAAGATGACACATCTACAAAAGATAAAGAACTAGTTAGACGAAAACGGATCTTTATTTTGTAGCCCAAAGATATTCTATTGTGTTCTGTACTGCACTGGCTCTTTCTTCCCACAAGCTTTGAAAATCCCAAGTAAAATTTGGAACATTCTAATGACGGTGTTAATGAAATTTCAGAGATGGTTAGAGCGTGTGGTTAGCTAAGTTGGTATTATGCTTGACTACGGAGCGGATGGCCCTGGTTCAAATCCTAAAAGCAGAGCTCTTTTTCTGAACTCGGGTTATTTGGGAGAGTATTGAAGGCTCTCCACTGAGGAGAACATATCACCAAGACATGTTTTCCACAATCAGGCCAGAAATACGGTAAATTTGAACACGCCAAAGATAGTGAGTTAAAAAAGTAGTCGCATTCGTCCTTTCTTTCAGGTTTTCAAAATATGCTTTTAAACCCACATAGGGTAGCGAAGAAAAGGAAAAATATCTTAAAATAATATAGACAGGTGATGAAAGAAAACGAGGACCACTTTTTTGTTTTTGTTTTCATGGAATGTCTTCTTGACAAAGGCGGTAACCCCGTCCATACCTAGTTGGTTAAAGCTCGCCCAATTGTTTCCATATTGGGTGTCTAGCCAATAACAAGGGCCCTTATTAGAAGACCATTCTCTAGTGACGAAAATGTGGGCGGTTCAGAAACGACACGATTAGAGGCTGTGCATGACAATGTCTTGTCACTGAAAGATAAATTTATTCTCTCTCTCTCTCTCTCTCTCTCTCTCTCTCTCTCTCTCTCTCTCTCTCTGTCTCTGTCTCTCTCTCTCTTTGTCTCTTTTTCTCTCTCTCTCTCTCTCACCCACACACACACACATGAGCACACACTTATTCACTCATTCCTTCTGTCTCTTTTGGTCTGTTTCTTCAACAAATATTTTTCACCATTGCTCCTCAGGGGCAGACAGAGAATCGGTGCTTCGCGGAGCGGGTGAAGAATACTTCAAACTGTGCCTCAGCGACTACGGCAAAGCTCTGCGCATGCTCGGAAGTAATCTTTGGGAGTTCTTCAGCAACATTGATGGACTGCAGGATCAGGTCTGCCACTCTTTGTAAACTTGTGCCCGTGTTATCGATAATAGTATTTTCATTTTGCGCGTTTTTCAATCATCTGTATCTATATTGACAACACCATCACCAACAACAACAATAAAATAACAACAACTACAGCTCCAACACGACCACCACAACCATCAGCACCACCACCACCACCACCACCACCACCACCACCAACAACAACAACAACAACACCAGTAGCAGCAGTAGCAACTGCTACGACAAAAAGAGAAAAAGAGCTACAACAACAGCAACGACAATATAAAATCCAACATAAATCTCTGTAATAACAAGAAATCAGCAGGACAATACTACTGGAACAGTTGCAATAACAAAAATCCCTACATATGCATGCGTGTGCATCACACCCCCATCGACACAATTTAGGTAATATAGGAGGTAGTCTTTGAACCAGTCCTGTCTGCCAGGGGGCCAACCCGGGCTGAGAAGGATTCAACATCCCAACAGAAAGACACAGATATTTGATTAAAAAGATTATCTCCATACAGGAATCGAGTTTGGCTCTCCCGAGTATGACAGCGAAGTCCCTAACCGCTACACCAAACAAGCCGTTACAAAAATCCCTACACAAAGATATTGCATAAAATGTCTGCAAACAAAAAGCAGAAGGAGTGACCTCTTCCGTCTAAGTACTCTAAGCTCACTGCACATCGGTAGTTTCCATCTAAGTACCGAACTACACAGCATCGGTTGAAGTCTACTTTCGAAACGTCCTCTGCTTTTACCACTCTTTTGGTGGTTATTTTAAAATGTCTTGCATCATGGTGAAAATAGGCGCACGTCAAGTAATTAAATCAAAGAAACCGACATTTTCCCGCCCCTTGGTTTTTTAAAAATCTTTTTTTCGGGTGGGGGGGGGGGGGGCACACTATTTATGTCCATTTAAAAACACATTTCTGTGTGGACTTTGGCGACCATTGTCTCGCTAATTGTATTCTGAAACCAGGTGGCATCTGCCTCTTTCAATCGCAAATATTGGGACTTCTGTTCATGATAGATGGATATTTTTTTTTGTTAAAAGGAAGATATAAACAAGCTTTAAGATGATCCTAATAACTCATTTTTTAAAATTATGCCCCAAAACTGACGAGTGCCTGCATGATTCCACTGTGTCGTGGGACAACTGGAAGTATGCTTTACGTCCCAATTGACGCTATTTAAATCATTTCAGGAGGCAGTCTTCAAGCGTGCCTTTGGGGATCAAACTAGGTTGAGAGGGAAACACCATTCCAGAAGAAAGACCGAGATACTCGATTTAAAAAAAAATTCCCCACACGGCAATCAACCACTGGTTTTCTTCCGTGGGACTGTGAAACACCTAACCGCTACACTATAGACCCCGGTTATGGGTGGTTGGAGGGTGCAACTATTAGGTCCTATTTCTTTTCTTTCCCTGTAGTTTTTCTGTCTGTCTACTTTTTCCTTGCCCTGTATGACCGATTTGTGTCGACGTTCATCTCTTTACGGAAACAAACCGCTCTTTATCCATGCTCGCTTCCAACACAGCCCCGGATATTGCGCGCTTGCTTCCTGTTCGATGTGCAGGCGCTGAGAGTCTTTTGTCAACATGCACGAGGGTTCTTGAAGGAGCTGGCACTTGTTTTTCTGACAACGCCTTTGAACGTTTTCTCTTGTTTTACTCATTTAAAAAAACAAAACAAACAATTGTATGAAATAACGGGTGTGGGCGGAGAGGAGAGATTCTATGCTGAAACATGTTTTTCTAATTGTCACATGGGATGAAGACGGACGGTTGAATCCTTTTTACATGTAAACAGAAACTCCAAAAACTAAACTATAACAATAGATTCTTTAAATGTCAATTCGAACAATGTGTATTTGAACTGATGAAAGGGAAATGCACTATGTGCTCTCTCCTAAATTTGATGTACATGTATTGGTGTTTTTTGAAGAAATATTAGTCTTAGAAAACACAACGAACTTTTCGATCTAACAATCGATGTTTTAGTTAAAGCCATCCATAACAAAAGACAATAGAAAACAAACAAACTAGCAATATGTTTGCTGGACAACGTATTTGTAGGAAAAGTTACAAGCCGCTAGAAAGAAGAGAGAGAGAGAGAGAGAGAGAGAGAGAGAGAGAGAGAGAGAGAGAGAGAGAGAGAGTCGAGGCGAGGCGAGTAGACACAGAGAGAGAGAGAGAGAGAGAGAGAGAGAGAGAGAGAGAAAGAGAGAGAGAAAGAGAGAGAGAGAGAGAAAGAGAGAGAGAGAGAGACAGAGACAAAGACAGAGAGAAAGTGACCGAAAGATAAATTAAAAGAAAAACAGAAAGTTTTGCTCAAAGTATGCGATAGAGGGAGGGCAAATATACAATCACAGAAAAGTCACTAGGGTAAATAGCGGGACGGGAGGAAAACTAGACGGGAGAAAGCAAGAAGAGAAGAAGCCTAGATAAGTCAGACGACGAAAACTTCAAACAGTCTTTAAAAATACATTTCAAAATTCCAAAAGTGAAATAAAAACAAGTTAAGAGAATGAAGAAAGTCAAAATGTGCAATAACTATTACGTTATAAAACAGTTGGAGTGTATCGGTGTGCAAGTGTGCAAGTGAGTGTGTGTGTGTGTGTGTGTGTGTGTGTGTGTGTGTGTGTGTGTGTGTGTGTGTGTGTGTGTGTGTGTGTGTGTGTGTGTGTGTGTGTGTGTGTGTGTAGAGAGAGAGAGAGAGAGGGGGGGGGGGAGGGCTGTGAAAGTAAAATAAAATCACACACACAAAAAAGCAACTGATGTTCTTCATTCTAGAACTTTATCTTACTTTGCTTTACCAAACAAACCGAATGCATTGAATTTGTAGAGAAACAAAACAAAACAAATGTCAGTAGCGTCGGTCGGTTTCGCTGACAGGATAGTTTGTTGTACCCTGGACTTGATCGTACTTATTTGACTCTCTGCACAACAATAAGCAAGACATTGCTTATTTCTTTCCTATTCCCAGGTCAAAGAGTACCCCCGTTTCCAGGGGCAACAGCCGCCATCATTCCGCTGCGACTGGAAGAAGAGCCATTTGAATCTACACTACTACTCATTACGTCATCAAATTCTGAGCTTCACCGCGGGTACGGTGCAAGCAGTATCTAAACTACTCTTCAACACAGAGCTACAGCTGGACATCTCTCCCAACAAGGACCCCAATGCACCACACCACATCTTCTACATCTCCACAGCCTCCGTCGACGACAACGAAAACAGCAGAAACAATCTGTACCCAGACCAGGTGAACACGTCCGACAACCCAACAGATTCGAAAATCGGGGTACACACGATCTGCGCGTCGTTTCCCTTCCACGTCATTTTCGACCAGGATCTTCAGATCACCCAGCTCGGAGTGTCATTGGCTAAAATGATCGCTCCCGAAGTAGCGACCAAAGGTCGAGATGTCGGGGCCTATTTTGACATTATCAAGCCAAAGGTGAAGCTCAGCTTCTCTGCCATTTTGTCCAGGGTCAACTCCAGTTTCGTTGTACGCACCAAAGACTTGTCTAAGAACAATCACAGACTGTCCCAGGTATGTGTTTTTAAAATGTTTTTAATGTAGCTTTTTTACCCCCCCCCCTTACCCAAATCCACACAATTTAGACCATTTAAGAGGCGGGCTTCCGACCCTGCCTGTCTGGGCAGGGCTAACCTGGGCTGAGAGGGATACATCCCAGCAGAGGGACCAAGACACTGAATGAAATGTTCTCCCCTCTCGGAAATCGAACTCTTCGGGTCTTCTGAGTGCGACAGCGAAGCAGATTAGCGCTGCACTACAAACGCCGGTCAATCGACACATTTACGATCAATGGTCAGTTAACAGTGAACACAATTTTAAGGTTTGTTCACACTGTAATTTGCGGGTGGTTGGCAGGTGCTCTGATATGGTTTGCTCCTTCTTTTCTATCAACTATCTCTTGTCCGGATGTTTCCCTATGTTTTATGGGTTTATTTTTTTACTCTTGTACGAGTCGGTGGCCTAGTGGTCAGTCTCTCGGACTCGCAACCGTAAGGTCGTGGGTTCGAATCCCGTCAGGGGCCCGACGTTGTGTCCTTGGGAAAGGCACTTTACACGAA